TGTCTGTTGTCATTAATATACGATAATTTATTCTCACGTATTTTGTGTTTATGAAATTCTGTGCTTTCAATAAAACTCATATACCTAGAGTTATTAATTTCTCATTTTGTCCTGCCCGTTGAAAGTGCTGAATTACCTCATGTGGCCCGCGGTTCGAAAAGTTTGGAGACCCCTGTTCTAGACGATCGGCTTATAGATGGCGGCAAGGTTGCCAGCCTTACGCGCCGGCCTCCCTTTACCCCCAAGAATATTGCTGGTACTCATTTCTGTTAAGAGGCTGAGTCGACTCCAGGGCCATAGTGCGACTAGAAGGATTAGGTCAATTGAAAGAAATGCAGTGACCTCATCGTGACTTGAACCCGCGACCTTCCAACTTTGTAGTATAGTGCCTCAACCAACTACGCTACCGCGTGCCCCTTCTTAAATGTAACAAAAAAAAAATTTAACAATATACGTAAAATGCTCGTGTGGGATTCTGTGTGTGTTTGATCCATTGCATTTTTTGTGGGTTCGTAAAGGGAGACCCGTCAAATGGTCTTGTTCATATTCTGGAGATGCAGAATTCGAATCTTGGCAGGGAGACCGTCAACCCACAGCAATTAATATATTTTACCAGATTTCTTGATTCAGATATTGTGAAAGCTGATATAGCAGCATTTCTCCCGACGTGTATTAATTGAAATTGCATTCGGGTGACAAGCTGCCCACACCGGGATTCAGTTCTTGCTCGTCATTCATGCTCATCTTCCCTTCCAGTTTAAGCAGGTGAATGAAACCGAGGATCGGTTTCGGATAAATATCGATACATTAGAGTCCGATAGGTAATGAACCGTCGGGTTCAGTAAAGGGCGTGGATTTCTCTAAGTAGGACTGCTCTGTTCACTTCTAGGGAGAACTCGGATACGCTTTCTTGATTGCCTTCCCAACTGTGCGCTGCCTAGGAGCGTACATATTGTAACATCGTTAAATAAACCAGGAAGCAAACAGACGAGTGTGATTTTTAAACAAGCAGACGAGTACGCAGCTTTCGCGGGCATTGCTTCTTATTTTATGAAATTTGGGAACGAATCTCGAACCCCGATTGAATGGTCCCGTATACACGCGGAGTGTGTTGATAGAACGTCGGTGCGCAGCCGTATGTCAGCTTACTGGAGCACTATTTCTGTTCTGTTTTAAAACGAATTAGTTTTGAAATCTTAATTGAAATAGATAAATTCGCAAAAAAATGCCCATTCTGTATGATGGTGATGCTTTCAGATAATGGCATTGATGGAGAACTGGCAGTTGAAGAGAATATTGAGTTCCAGGCGGTAGGAATTAACAGGAGGCTGAGAAAATTACATAACGAGGATCTTATTTTTAGTCTGCACCAAATAATGATTAAATCAAGGAGGGTAAGATGGGCAGGACACTTAGCGCTCATGGGAGGCTTGTAGAATGTGTACAAAATGCTGTTCGGAGAACCTGTAGGAAGGGACCACGTGAGAGACTAAGTGTATGTAGGTGGTTAATAGTAAAGTGAATTTTAGAGAAATTCTTTGTGAGGTGTGGACTGCATTGTCGTAAGACGGGATCGAGTGTCGGGTTCTTGTTGTTACGGTGGTGAACCTTCAGGTTCCATACAATGTGGAGTTTTTTTAGTATCGTGGTGGCACACGAACGGCTGTGGAGTTAGTGTATGAATGTATTCGTAGAGGAATCTTGTTAGAATTAATTGAACATATGTATCCTATTATTTTACCATCATGATTCCGAGAAACAGTGCGCTACTTGTTGAAAGAAGGTGTGTGCATGTCTTTTAGGCAGGTCTCGTTTTCTACTGTCAGAAATGAGTCAGAGTCTGATTCACTCTGTTGGAATTGCCCATGCAGCAGACATTGACTGACGTCAAGTGACCAAGCCCGTTTCTCCGCTCATACGACAAAATACGCTTGCAGGAAGTAAATGAGTATTTATCCATTCGTCACTTGGTAGAAAGTTAGATTTCCGGGGGGGGGGTTGTGCGGAGTTCTGTCTTGTGGCATATGAAGCCGTATAGTCCGATAAAAATCAACCGACGTTTCGGAAAACTGCCCTGCTTGCTTCATGCTTCTTTCTTTCGTGGCTTGCTTGTCGATCCTTAAGATGTACGTGATATGTACCTCCTAAACATTGGTTGATTTTCACCGGGCTATACGACATATCTTAGAAGACAGAATTTTTCGTAGCCACCGCTGTAGAAACTTCAAATTCGATTTTATTTTTAATCTAATTCAAAACCTTCACTTCATGGAAGAACTTCAGGATTGTCAGTTTAAATTATAAACCTGTAAATTCATGAATGGCCGGTCACGGTTGCCGAGCGGTCTAAGGCAGTCTTCGCTCTCTTGGAAACCGGGATCGTGGGTTCGAATCCCACTCAGGGCATGGGTGTTTAGTTTGTGTGTGTGTGTGCGTTTTTCTGTTTGTGTGTACAGATAGAGGCCTTGCGACGAGCTGATCACCCGCCCAAGGAGTCCTACCGAATGTGTAAGATCGAAGTGAACGGAGAAGTTCATTGAGGTAGGCCTAGGCCCACTGGGGCTGTAGCGCCAAGAAAAGAAAATCATGAATGACCTCGGTTCCGTTTTAGATTGTCTTCGCAGCAAATGTAGGGAATTGTAACCTTGGGAGAAACGTGAAATCTTAATGAGACATGAGAATTTATGCGTATTCAGAAATAATCACTGTTACTTTTGATTTTAGCGTTCTTTGGGCAAGTTATTGTTTTTCGTTGTAAGTTTTGAGCTGTGCACCCGGAATTGATATCAGTTTTAAAGTCAAAGGAGAGCATACATGGAAGTATAGATTTTTCAGTAATGTATTACACAGTGTGTGTCATGCCATAATTTACAGGATGGATTCTGGACATCGAAATAAGTAAGAAGTTCAAATAAGTAGTTGTCATTGCTAAGGCTAGGAACACACACAGCGACATTGGTCATACGGAAAAATGTATGATTTTTTGCCATACGACCTCCTTTTCACACTAGAGCGACCTTATTTGCACTGAATCACAGTTTTGAGGAAGGAACAATGAACGAAGGGCCGAGAGTGCCTACTTGCTATGTGGTATTTTAACCGACGCCGAAAAGAAAAACAGAGGCAGCAGGAAAGATTGCATGGGGTGCATCCAATCAATCAAAGGCGAGATGAAGTTGTGGTTTGGTCCTACTGCTCTCCGTCTGTCATGTGGCAGATGTCGCATGTCGTTACGTATGAAAGCTAAGACCACACTTTATATTCTACTACTTGATGCAACATGAACTGTATGGACATCATAAGACCGATGTTGCTGTGTGTGTTCCTAGCGTAAGGGTACATTTGAATCACACAAAGATGTTCACCAGGCCACACGTGTTCTTTGTGAATGCTGGTGATCCCAGTCCCAGTGAAGTGTGATTTGACCATGAATATGAAACCTTTGTCGTAAAGGTAGGGTCTTTGGATGACTGTTAAAAAATCCATTTGAGGGAGCATGTCCTGCCGGTGCAGTGTGTGGTACTAACTTTTGCAAAGACCGAATTTGATAGGGATACAGCTGTTCTTGTAATGTATGGTGTAAAGGTGCATGGGAGGTACCTGTCCAAGCTGAAAATTATTTAGCACTTGTGGTAGACTGTCTTTCAGCAACGTCTGTCCAGAATCAGATGCAGGATGTGGACAGCCAACATCCCATTGCATTATATGAAATCTTCCTGTCTCTTGAAGCTGTTATTAAAAAAAAGGGGGTTTTCTCTGTGCTGGATTGTTATGTGTCATGGTTTCCCAAGGTTAAATTGCTAAAGGCTGACTTTTAAATGTAACATGTTGTAGTGAATGTGTGCATTGTAATACTGTGTATTCAGAGTAAAACTCTCAGGTCTTGTGAACATCAACATAGTGTTCTGTATCAGGTGGACCTCTGTGATCACCAGCATTTGTTTTCCAGAATGTGATGGCAGGAGCTGACATTATCTAATCATAAGTTTTTAAGGAAAACCAGCAGGGTGCCTATTTGTATGAACCTCTTTACTTGTTTTTATGTCCAGAAACCATCCTGTGAAACATGCCATGACATTCCATATAATCAATGAATATTAAATTGGTGAATACAGTAGAACTTGGTTATAACGTCATCAAAGGGACCTAAAAATAGTGTCGTTATAAACGAATGTCGTTGTAACCGAAATGGGCACTTCCACAGTAGCCTGATGTTAGTCACGTAAAAATCTACCAAAAACCGAGTTAAAATGTTGCACTTTTAGCGAAATACGTAGTTAAGTACAGACTAACGTAACATTAACGTGGAATTGCCCAAATGTGTAATATCAAAGACATATTACAGCGCTTTTCACAGACAATACACACCGCACTAATACTGTATATTAAAGGTAGGCCTACTCACCAAATTACAGTAGATTACATCAATTGTTGTGCCTTACTGTACCTAGATACGAGTACAGTAATCAGTTATCTTCATCTGTTTCCTGTTACTTGCCCAATACACACTTTCTAAATTACGTTCAATGTCCATATCAGAGAAATTCAGGAATGAAAATGACGTTACATACGAGGTTGATGCATTTGTGCATGTCGTACTAAGCAAGGTATAAAAACAGTTGCTTTATGAGGAATTAGTTCGTACCATTGAATATTTGACGCAATAGACAAGGTGTCGCAGAAACCGATGTTGCTATAACCAAGTTTTACTGTATGTTGAACGAAGTTGCTGTGGATGAATTTGAGGTACTATCTTGGCATTTGCCTTGAAGGTCTGAGGAAAACCACAATAAACTCAGGATAGCTGGTGTCTGAGATGATGCTTGATGACAGCGTTTTTAAATAACCTAAGAATCAGTTTACTACGTGTAATCTTCATATCCCTCCTTTGGTTCTTTATAACCTGGATGGTGGGTGGCAGTACAGTTAAAGTGTTTGGAGTGCATTACTCCTCCAAAGACACTGAAGAGCAACAGATGGACATCAAGGATTTATAATATGTTGCTGCTGAAATACAATCTTTCATTTGTTTGATGGCTGAGTAACACTGGATTTCTTTGTAGTGTTTCCTATAAACATTAGATGTTGTTTGTACATACTTTTCTTTTCGTTTGTGTATGTGTTACAGATTGATAAGAATGGAGATGGATATATTGATCTGTCTGAGCTAAAGGAGGCTCTAGATGGTTGTGGATTTAAATTACCAGGCTGGAAGGTGCGTCAGATGATTGAGGAGTATGATGACAAAAGACAAATACAGCATAGAGGCCGTCTTTCATTTGATGAATTTGAAAAGGTATTCTTGGTTTTGCTGTGTAATTGTTCATTTTTAATCCTTAGACATATGTTAAGTTCATATATCCATTTTTGTGAAACCACCTGTTTTGCCAAGAGCACATAAATGTGCAAGGCTCTCTCACCCATCATGGTACTTCATTACACTGCAGCTGGTTTCCTTTAATGTAGCCTTCCATGATACACATATTATAGACTTGTGGTGGACAAACTAATAACTGCTGTCAGTATTTACAGTAACTAAAAGTTAGCTTGATTTTGTTAAAATCTGGTGGTAGATTTATTTTCTAGGAAAAAGTTTTGTGATTTGAATGGATTATAAGGATGAATGTCAGTTTTAGATGTTATAACTGTTCAACAGTGCAGGCTTAGTAGTACTAGGTGGTTCAAATATGACCGGGACTGATTTTTTTGTAAACAAGGTGATTATACAGTGTTTTATTCCGGAGGTGAACGGGCTGAAAGAGGTGTGACAATAGTGGTGCATAAAAGTGTAGTGAGGAGTGTTGTTAAGAAGATTGCTTGTAATGACAGAATTATTGCTCTGAAGTTAAAGGCGGAACCAGTAGATATTCTGATTATGCAAGTGTACATGCCAACATCAGAGTATGAAGATGATGAAGTGGAAAAAGTGTATGACACAATTGAAGAAATTCTTCAGGAAGGTAAAAGAGGAGAGACAAACAGCATCATATTGGGAGACTGGAATAGCATTGTTGGAGATGAACCATATCAGAATATTGTTGGATCACATGGACTAGGAAGACGGAATCACAGGGGTCAAATGTTTATTGACTTTTGTGAAAGAAATGGACTGATTGTTACCAATACTTGGTTCAAGAAGCCAAAGAGAAGACTTTACACATGGAAGGCACCTGGGGATTGGAGGAGGCATCAGCTGGACTATCCTTGTGAAACATCAATTCAGAAACAGTGTGAAGGATGTGAAGACGCTTCCTGGGGCAGATACTGACTCTGACCACAACTTACTGGTTGCCAAGTTCCGAACCAGGTGGAAGAAAATTATAAGATTTCAAAAGC